TATTATAATCTAAAATGAATAAACGTTTTAATAAGAATAATTATTTGAATGACAGAAGTAATGGTTTTTATACCAAAAAAAAACAAAACATTATAGGTGTGAAACCATTGGCTAATGTCTCTTATAACTTAACAATTAGTTCGTTCTCTTTTTGTGAAACCCCACTACTTTTTAGTTTTTGACAAACCCAATTATTAGTTCCCAAAAGCTGCAGTTTTCTAATAGAATTTGGAGCTTTAATTTTAATCAGTGCTTATTTAAATTTCAAGTTGTTTTTTCAATTCTTTTAGTATGTTTTATAAACGAAAATCCATTATTTTAATCCTAAAAAAATAACAAATCATTTTTAATGTGAAAAGATTGCATGTAAAGCGCATGAATTAGATTAAAAAAAGTTAGTTACTAATATTATTGTTAATTTTTCAATTTTATTTTTATAAATAGTTGAAAAGTATAAATAGTTGAAAAGAGATTTTTTAAAAACTTTGGCGAAGAACTAAAAATAATATAATAAAGTATAAGTCGTAAATGAATGCATACATACATTTAGAGTGCAAATTACTAAATGAATTATAGCCCCCATAAATAGCAAATAGAAAATTTAGACAACAACTTTAAAATATGATTTACTTCTTAATTTTATTTAAAAAATCAAAGAATATCATATAAGTTTTGATAACTATAAGCGTGGATAGCCATGCACTAGTAACCATCACATCTCTGCTTTATCCGTGTGATTTCATAGTTTTATTATTTTTTTATTTTTCTTTATTTTTATTTATTTATTTTATTTTAAATTTATTTTGCATATTTTAAATATTGTGCAAATTATAAATCATGATAGTTTACAAATTAAAATCTCAATAATTAAGAATATATTGACTCTTAAAATTATATTTTGCTACTATATTGAAACATGAAAGTAAGTATTATACATCATAATAATTAATAACTTAAAATATATAAAATCATATTAAAATTTAATAAATTTTATCTGTTATAAAAAATGAAACAAGAAAATAATAAATATTAAATATGTGCTAGTACGGAAACTCGTATATCATGTAAGTTGAAATAAAAGAATATTAAAATACTGTATAACTAGAAATTCAGTGCCAATTGAGAGTGGAATAATGTATTTAATTATTTTTTCAAGTACGTCAAATATTGGTATTCTCTCGGTCTAATATATGTTGTTTATTTTGTTAAATTTAGAGAATGTAAATTAATTTTTTTAATATTTTTTTCTATAATTAATTTTTTTAAAGCTATCTCATTTATTTGTATAATTTTTTTTTAAAAAAAAATACACTAAAACAATTTTTAAAATTTATAATTCTTAATAGGAAAAATTGTATATAATAGCAAACTAATAACCTAAATTAAATAGAATAGCTAGGGTTTGATTTAATTGTGTTCCATAGCAAACATTAGCTAAAATTTGCCAGCGTCTCTCTTCCAAAAATCTCGCTCGCCACTCTCCATTCTCTCTCGCCTCTCTCGCTTTATACACAGAAGTGTATAATTCTGTTTCTGTTTTGTATAAAGCAAGAGAAAATTGTGTATACACATGCAAAAATGTATATCTTCGTGTTATACACTTAATTATACAATTTACAAACATTTTACTTCAAGTATTGCAGAGAAAAAGGCCAACGAATTATACAATTGTAGTGAAATACAATTTTCTCTAGCTTTATACAACAGAAATGTATATATTGTGTTTCTGTTTTTGTATAAAGCGAGAAAAACATACATCTTCTTGCTATACACTTATAATTATGCAATAGCGAGTTCGACTCGCGAACGATCAGCAAGTGAAGGACCGATCCTTTTGCGCCAATACTGTTGCGAGACTGGTACTTGGCGGCTCACGAGCAACATATAGACTAAGGTTTACATACATTTTAATTCGATTCAACTGTATGCAAAACAAATTATACAATTACAGCGAAATAAGCCAGCGAATTATACAATTTAGGCCAGCGAATTATACAATTTATGCCAGCGAATTATACAATTGTATATGTATAGCAAATTATACAGTTTTATGTTTGCTATGGAGCGCAATTATGCAAAGTTTGTTATAGCATACAATAATGAATTTTTTGATTGCTATGTGTGAAAGTTGCCCATCTTAATATAACTATACAAGTGTAAAAAATATATTCAATAGTATTGAAAGGAGGAGTATATTCAATTGCGCCGCAGTTCTATACCTCCTCTTGAAGAACAGTTCAAACGAAAAAGGGCCTAAAATACCCTCAAAGTATTGGAAATAGTACAAAATTAACTTCCATCCACCTATTGGCTCCAAAATACCCTTCTCACCCACCTATTGGTTTCAAAATACCATTGTAATTCACCTTTTGGTTCAAAACTAACCACTTATATAATGGTTTTAAATTTAAACTATTTAAATATTTTTTTTAAATACGTGGCGTTAAACTATTTGATACAATTTAACTTATTAGTATAATTTATAAATCAATCCACTACCCACCTATTACTAATTAAACTCCTCCAAATTAATAAATCCGTCACATTATTAAAGAAACAAAAGAAAAACTATTACCAATTGAGTGTTTTTAAATATTTGAGGTGAAAATATCGATAGAAGTAAACTATCATACATTCAAATTTCTAAATAAAAAATTATCGATAAACTTAAAAGTCTGACTATGTTAATCTTAACTATCCTTACGTCTCAATTATGTGATGTTACTTCATAGATAACTTTTTTTCAAATAATATATTAAAGGTTGTAAAACAAATCATAAATATTTATAAAATTATATTTAAAAAAGGTGCATGAATTAATTCGGAATATATACTTCTTTAACTTTAATCATAAATTTCTAATTCAATTTTGAAACATAATCCTATTGAAAGTGTCGTCCTAAATAAGCGGCTCAACCTAAATTTAATTGGGGTTTTGATTTGACTCGAATAATTTTGGATGTCATTTTCAAGAATCTATAATTTCATCGTGTTTTAGTAGTTTTTTTTTATCGATTTTGATATTATAATTGGATTATTAATTGGGTGACGTTTAGTTAATAATGAGTGGATAGTGGGTTGATTTATAAATTATATTAATAAATTAAATTATAACTAATAATTGAACGCCGAGTATTTTAAAAAATATTTAATGAGTTTAATTTTAAAACAATTAAATAAGTGGTCAATTTTGAACCCAAAGGTTGATGACAAGAGTATTTTGGAGACAATAGGTAAATAAAAAGGGCATTTTGGAGCCAATAGGTGAATGAGAAGGACATTTTGAAACCAATAGGTGGATAGAGGATAATTTTATACCATTTTCAATACTTTAAGGATATTTTAGGCTCTTTTCTGTAGTAAGAAATATGTTTCTTTCTCCATTCAATTTTTTTTCTTAACAAATCAAAGAAGATATATTTTAATATTATTTTTATTATTAAATAATTAATAAAGTAATAAATTTTCAAAACATATCAAAATTATTAATTTTTTAATTTCATATTATTGAAAATATAAATTTCATATTTAAGTATCACTCGTTTATTTGAAAAATAAACTCCCTATTATATTACATTCTCTTAGTGTGCATAATACTGATCGTTTGTCTCTTTTACTTTTTTTAAAAATAAATCATATAACACTTCACAGAACAAAACATTTCACTTTAATAAAAGTTAAATAGATTATTAATATGAGTATTAGATAGGAGTTGAAATTTGAAGTATCATTGTCCCAAAAAAAAAAATATTTTTCTTACCAAATTCCGTCACATCCGCCCAGGACCCAGCTTAGCCTCCTTCACTAAAAAATTCCCTTTTTTTAAAAAATAAATATATATTTTATGAAAGTTTGTTTAAGAAAATCTTACTTCATCCCCCTCCACTTTTCTCCCCTCCCTCTTCCAAGTAGATATAATTTATCTTTTTTTCCTAAAAAATATACTCATTCCATTCCCTCCTAACCTCCGCTCCAAGCTGGTGTTTTAATTTCTTATTTTGTATTTGATAGATACATATATTTTCAAGAGAATATTTTTTTGCTTGTCACAAAATACGTCAGTAGAAAAAATTGAGAGCGAAAAATTAGATGAGATGAAATATTATTATTATTTTTTTTTAAAAAATAATATCTAAAAAAATTCGGAAGGAATGGGTGGTTTGTGGGGTGGTAGAATGGGATAAAAATGTTTTAAATTTTACTTTATTAAAAATCAGTTTCTTATTAGGAGGAATATTGGTATTTTAATCATCAATTAATATTAATATTTTATTTATTTTTTATCAAAATGAAATATTTTATTTATGTCGTATGCATATTTTAATCTGTAACATTTTAACTAATATTAACAGTTTATCATGGTCAAATTTATCCCAAAGAAAACATGATTTTCTTAAATAAAATAGAGATTGTATTATGCACACACAAACATATATTTCTCGAATGAATGAGTTATAGTTTGAATATAATACTTTAAATATAAAATTCACAATTAAGAAAAAACTTAAATATCACAATTAAGAAAAAACTTAAATATTTCTTAGATAGTTTTTTCTTAATTAAATAATAGTAATCAAACTTCGAACTCTTCGATGTATGTTAATATAAATAATTTAAATATAACAAAGTTTTATCATATTATAATTATATAATATGTTTGAATTTAAAAAAATCGAATAATTTAATTTTGATCATAAATTAGAATTTTCTTTTTTAAAATTTTTTATCTAAAACATTATAAAATTTAAAATACATCACATAAATTAAAAAAGAAACGCGGAATTAAGATGAATATCACGTACGCAGAGTTAGGTCCTCGTGATAGAAACGCCAAAGACCATTGGGAAAGAGCTTTACTGTCAAATTTGAAAAAGACAAATAACTTATGGACTTGTACTGAAATTTTAAGTTTCACCAAGCCCCTTGTTTGCAAAGTGATAATTTATTTCTCCTGCTAAAGACACCTATAAGAATCCAATATTTTGTTACCCACTCCTAACGGCTTCCGTTTTTTTTCTCTCTTTAATTTTTCTCTATTATTAACAAGTCATGACAATGGCCATTGATTGCATGGTGATGCCTATGATACAAGATGAGAAAAAGTCACTCATTTTCGACTCATCTGTACTTAAAAATGAATCGAACATTCCTAGACAATTTATATGGCCGGACCACGAGAAGCCTAGTGGTTTTGTTGGTGAACTTGATGTTCCGCTTATTGATTTAGGGGCATTCCTTTCTGGTGATCCGATTGCAGCTAAGCGTGAATCTAGTCTGGTTGATGAAGCATGCAAGAAGCACGGTTTCTTTCTCGTGGCAAATCATGGTGTTGATACTAATCTTATCTCACTTGCACATCGCTATATGGACATGTTCTTTGAATTGCCACTTTCCGACAAGCAAAAGATTCAAAGGAAGAGAGGAGATCATTGTGGTTATGCTAGTAGCTTTACTGAGAGATTTTCATCCAAGTTACCTTGGAAAGAGACACTTTCTTTTCCATATTCTACCCTACAAGGCTCGTCCCACATGCTTGATCAATATTTTCTAAAAACAATGGGGGAAGACTTTAGCCATATTGGGTAAGAGGACGTGACCATTTTGTTTTATTTTATTAGGTCATTACTTTATCTATAAATCATTTTGGGCTAGCTACGTAATTATATCTTCGATTCGGTACGTTTCTTAAATATGTCAGAGCTGACAAATGACATGTTGAAAATATGATTAGACGTATAAAAGTATGTTTCTTTCGGACTCAGGACCTCTGTCTGCATTATTGATACCATATTTGCTATGTAATCATCTCACTAAAACTTGTTAAGAGTCTCGTTAAACTTTGATACATACTTTTTTTTTGTATGCTTTAATTTTTTTAAATCTTCTTTATTAATCAACATGACGAATGTTTATTATTATTATTTTTCATTATGATAGGAAGTTTTACCAAGAGTATTGTAATGCGATGAGCACTCTCTCTTCTGGGATCATGGAACTCTTGGGCGAGAGCCTAGGCGTGAGCAAAAACCATTTCAAACAATTCTTTGAAGAAAATGAATCGATTATGAGACTCAACTATTATCCAACATGTCTAAAACCAGATCTTGCGTTAGGAACTGGACCACATTGTGACCCAACATCATTAACCATCCTCCATCAAGACAACGTCTCAGGACTACAAGTTTTCATGGACAACCAGTGGCGCTCTATCAGTCCAAATAATAGTGCTTTTGTCGTTAACATAGGTGACACATTTATGGTAAGAAAGAAAAGACATTTCTTAACATATATGCCTTCTAATGACTAGTCATTTTACCTAATTGAATTGACATTTACAAAATCAAAAGTATTTACTCTTTCCTCCAATCAATTTGCTTGACACTATGTCATTATTGTCATTATTTGTCCATTTCAATATTTGAAAATAATTATTTTTAAAATTTTCATTTTTTCTATATCGAAAGATTGTTACAGTCGTACAAATATTATAACATGTGTAATAAGGTACCAAAATCCCAAATAGTTCGATATTATTTAAGTGAGACATGTAAGGCATCTTAGACAAACAATCTTGTGATTAAGGTTAAAAAGTATAATAAATAAATATTTTATAGATTTGAATTTATATGATAATTTCAATTTTAAAAGTCAAATAAAATTTATTTTACCTTATATACGTAATTTATTTCTTAACTATGACATAGTTAAACTCAATGTGACATTTATTTATTTTAACCTTTTGCAGGCGCTTTCAAATGGAAGGTATAAAAGTTGTTTGCACAGAGCTGTAGTAAACAACAAAACACCTAGAAAATCTCTTGCTTTTTTTCTTTGTCCTAAGAAGGATAAGGTGGTGAGGCCACCGGCAGAATTGGTGGACTCTAATAATCCTAGAATATATCCAGATTTCACATGGCCAACTCTATTTGAATTTACACAGAAGCATTATAGAGCTGATACCAATACTCTACGATTCTTCTCTACTTGGCTTCAACAGAAAACTACGGAAATTTAAGGCATACTCAAGAAGTTTTTAGTAGCATTTGTGACATCCAATGTAGATCAAGACCTTAGCCTTATGGAAATTGGAATTCTTCATTGCAAGTGAGATATAATAATTTAAAGAAGAAAATGGTAATTTATGTCTATCGATTAGATAAAGTAAATAGTGAATTCAGGTGGCTGTTTGAGTGAATATTTGAATGTCTTTTTTAATAATTTAATTTTTGAGATAAGATAATTACATACTTTGATTAAAATATTAAAATAAACACATATTATTTTTTAATGAGGTATAAAATAGTTCAACAAATATAAATTAAAACATTCTTGTACTTAGTTTATCGGTTGATGGAATAAAAAGACTTCACGACATCTTTTTATTATGTATATCTAAAAGATTAGATAGGATAGTACATATATAGTGCCTAGTGGTATAGATAGGACATGGAATACATACGAATATTGGGAATGGGCAGAGCTTCTAGTGTTGGGAATGGATATTTATGCTACTCTATTTGGTTTTATCCTTGTCCATTTGTTTTTAGTATACTTGGATTGTTGTGGATTTGTCCTTTATTGCCTTGATATTTATTATTATATTCATATTACATATTATATAATAAAAAAGCTGAGGATCAAGTTGCCAAAAAACCCATATCGAAAAGCAATTCATATTGTTTTTACACCTATACAAAAATGAGAAAATGATATCAAACATCATTAATGAATTAAAAATAAAATTATAAAGGTCGGTGTACTGCATCATGTTCTTTTCCTCCAAGAAAATCGAACAATACTTTTGATCGATCACTAGGGACGACTTCTCTTCATCTCTCTTTGTTTCAATTTTCAATTGAGGCAAAGTGGCATAACACTTGACGAAATTTATATAAATCTTCTTGAAGTGTTTGAGTATTAAAAAATATATGTCATACTTTGAGTTGATAATCACAAGGAAGAATGTTTTTCGATCACACTTAAAATAGGTATATCTATCGTTAGATCAATTCTTTTATTTAATAAAACGTAAAATCAAATTTTAATAGATTTTTTTTTCATCTTATTAAATCAAATTCGATAAAAAGAATTTCATCTTATTAAATCAAATTAAAATAAAATAGATTTATTCCGTATAATCATCATAGCAATGAAATTTAACCTTATATATCTATGCCATAAAGAAGGCCTAATTGTACGTCTGAGCACTTCTCATTGTTTGCATATTTGACATACTGCTTTCCAGTATGTGAAAACATCTTCACGTCGAAATAACTTATTTCATCAAAATAAATCGATATATACGATAAATATCTAATTATTTAGTTATAAATATATACTAGTTGTCAATTATAATGAGGGATAGACTCAAAATTAAGATAGTCACAGTCTGAAGATTAGGGTGTACCCAAAAGGTCGACCCCTTTCACGTGGCAACCTATGTTGTTTCCAATGGGTTTTTTTGTTTATGTTGGTCTACTTGTTCTCTATTTCACCTCACAACTTTAACACATTTTTTTGTTTCTTTTCACTTTTCCATAATATAACACGACATAACTTGAGACTGTGACATGAAATTGACACGTCCTTCTCTCTATTATCAATTTCACTTCTTTCTATAACTTAGGACAAACGATTTACAATCACTCAATTATTAGTACAGTATTTTAAAAATCAAAAAATATTATGGTGCTAATTAATGAAATTAAAGTTTAGAAATGACACACGTATTAAAATAATAATGATTAATATAGCGAAAGTTACAATTTTACTTTATTAATTATGATTTCAAAATAAACTTACTCAAGATAATTAGTTAATATTGTGAGAAGTTTAAATGAGAGTATAATAGAATTTTTTTTCTTTCTTGATTAATCAAAATTAGAGCCGTCAATATAGGCTAGGTCCGTTGGGCCGGCCTGGTCTAACCCGAAATTTAATAGGGTTAGGCTAAAATTTTTGAAGTCCATTTACGAAAAGGGTTTTTTAGTCCGGCCTGAATAAACCTGCTCATTTGGGAGGCTTGAGAAATATTGGTAGAGCCAACCCGTTGACCAATAAAAATTAATTTAAAAATATAATATAATATTAAAATTTAAAAATAAAGAGAGTTCAAAATCAAAATAATTAGGTTAATATTTCTATTTAGATATTTATACTTTTAGTTGAATAAAAACTTAATAAATATTAAGAAAAATGCACAAGTACCCCCTAGACTATGACCAAAATTTCAGAGACACACCTTAACTAAGGTCTTATTACCCCCTGAACTTTTTTTTTTAATTTTATATACCTGTTGTCTTATGTGCACTCTATGTGACTCCACGCAATTGAAGCGCGTCAGAGATATTTGGATGCCACGTAGGCCAAAGAGGTACACAAAATTACAAAAAAATAAGTTCAGGGGGGTAATATGACCTTAGTAAGGTGTGTCTTTGGGATTCCGTTCATAGTCTAGGGGATACCTGTGCAATTTACCTAATTATTATGAAGATAATTTTATTTGTGAATTTGATTAACAAGTAGTGACAAGGTCTCATTTGTTTCCATTAAGATTAAGACGTTTGAATTTGAATACACATTTAAATATTAAGATGTGCATTAAGATCTAGATGTGTAAATCTGAATAAACATCTGAATATTAAAATATTCTCTCTGAATCTGAACACTAAATTATTGGGACAATTTGTTTTCAATATCTGAATGCACATATGAAATTAAAAGTTATATCAATAAAATATTATAAAAACCTTGTTAGTAAAATAGTTTTTTTTCTATAAAATAATATTTTGAATATTTTTACCGTAACAAGGTAATATGATTTATCTTTTAAGAACTCAACATCAAGTTGCATTATTAATATGACTATTTTTTGCACTCAAATACTTTGAGAATCTAATATAATACAATTTAAAATAGTTTACATAGAGTAGTAAATATAGGGAAAAGGGTCTGATATACCCTTCAACTTTGTCATTTAGAGCTGATATATCCCTGGTTATGAAAGTGGCTCATATATACCCTTACTTGTAAACAAATGACTCACATATACCCTTTTCATCTAACGGAAAATGAAAAAAAATTAATTTTAATCTAAATTTTTATTATTTTTTTCTAAAAAATATAATCCCATATAAATAAAATACTCATCAAACATTTTTTTTTTTACTTTTTTTTGGTTTCTATGACTAATTTATAATTATTATTTTGATAATTAAATTTATTTATATTTCACTAATATTCTTGTAAAACTTGTTGTAGATGACCATATTTTTTCTTCGAATACGAAATTAAATTACAATACACACAAAAAAAATAGTTTAATTTTTCTCTCTTTAAACTAAGGAATGAAAGGAAAAAAACAAAATAAGGATAAGAAACTCAAATAATTATTATAAAAGAAGTCAAAAAATAGTTTATGTATGAAAAAAATTTAAAAATATCTTGAACTTTGATAGAAGAATCATATATACCTCTAAATAATTTTTTTTAAAAAAAAATTAGAAGTAATAAATATAAATTTAAAACTAATTTTTTAACTTTCGTCAACTGAAGGGTATATGTGATCCATTTTGTAACGGCAGGGATATATATGAGCCGTTTGTATAACGGTAAGGGCATATATGAGCCACTTTTATAACGAGGGGTATATCAGCTCCAAATGACAAAGTTGAGGGGTATATCAGACCCTTTTCCCAGTAAATATATAGTTTAGGAAAATATTTTATTTTATTTTATCATAGAAATTTTTTATCGTTATCGATCAAATAACTAATACTTTCTTATTTTTGAAACCGTGCTAAATATTATATCATGAGAGTGCTTATCAATTCAAATATATTGATTAATTTAGAAAGTAAAAGATGTATATTAAGTTAATTTGAATAAAGGAAATTATAATGGCAAGCATTTAATTAATATTAATTAAATAAGAAAACAATTTTTATAAGTTGTCGTGATTTAGTTGAATTCAGATAGGAGTCTTATTTTTTAGTCTGAATAGTGTTAAGAGTGTGTTACAGATCTGATTCATTCAGATATATCCAGACCCATTAAAAGGCTTATAAGAAAATAAAATAAACGAATTTAATGAATTGAATCTGAATAATTAAGATTCAGTTCTTAAAAACAAACACGCTTAATGAGACAAATCTTAATGATTAAGATTCAAACCCCATTAAGTGCAAACAAATGAGACCTAACATAATGTAATATTGTTTTGTCGATATTTATGATAATATTTTTAAATTATAATTTATTATTTAATTTAATAATTATAAAAAAAATATAATTTTTAAAAAGGTGGGCTGGCCCCGCAAGCCTGTAACCCACATATTTGTGGGCTGGACCGATCATTTATTGGCCAACACAAAAATTGACTAGCCCGGCCTGGCCCGTAAAATGTCAAAGCCTGTATGGATTAGCCCGGATGGGGTGGGCTAGCCCATATTGACAACTTTAGTCAAAATTAACAAGTAAATAGAAATAGTGGGAGAGAGTAATATTTATTTATTTCCTTTTTTTGGCTTAAGTGCTAAATATATGGGATTGATAATTATTGTTTATTTATTGATTTTCCAATCATAATTTTACTTTTTATATTATTTTTTCCCATATCTTGAATTTCCATTTTTTTGGTATTTTAGTATACGATAAATTTCCTTCCTATATTTAGGGATTATGTGCTAAATTTATGGTATTGATAATTATTATTTACTTTTTGGCTTTCCAATCATAATTATGCCAACATGAGTAAAAAAATTGAAAAAATTCGAAGTTGAAAAATCTAAATTTTATTGGTTTGATTTGATTTATGCATTTAAAAATCTGCACAAATTATTTGTTTGGTATTTGAAAAATTCGAACCAACCGTCCATGTATACCTCTATCAGTACTATCTCTCTGCAGGCTGCAGCTATGACATAGGTATATAATATACATATAATATACATGTATTCTATATATAAAATACATATATATATGCTATATGTACAACTAAAATATACAAATAATCCATGGATACCCCTATCAATGACTATCTCTATGCAGGCTACAGCTATGGCATAGGTATATACATATAATATACATGCACACTATATATAATATACATATATATACACACTACATATACACCTAAAAATATACACAGTGTATACTTGGACTAGATTGATAAATTAGTTGGTCGGTACGTTTACATAAGTTTTAGGAGTACTATGTTAGTTTTTTTTTGGTCTCTTTGATAATTTAACAATTAGACGACATCGTGATATAAATATTTTGCTTCCTTTTGAAAGACTTTTTCTTTTGATTGGT